TTGAACTTATCAAGAATTCCCAAAAATACTTTTTCATCTTTCTTTATTTGTTGTTGCCGACTGAGCTAGATCTGACCGCCTCTCCTTTCCATGGCCCTCTGCCTCTCCTGCTCGCTTCGAATCTCAAGTGCACGGCGATAATCTTTTGCCGAGCAATGTCATCCGTTTCGTGACTTACACGCTGCGCGATTGCTACCAGCGATGATTGATGATTGATGGGGCAGCGGCAGCGGCAGCGGCAGCGTAATCGTAGCAAACGCATTTTAATGGCACAATGAACATAAAAATGTTTGCGTTTTGGTTGTCGTTGCTGATAATGCATTGGGTGTCGTGGCTAATTCATTGGCGATCCCCAGCCAAGACTCATCTCTATTCCGTTTATTATTAGAGTCAAGGCCAGGCGCGTACAAGTTTCATTGAACTCTCGAGCGGTGTGCAGGTGCCACGCCCAATCGTTAAACAGTCTACCGTAAAAAACTATGTAGGGAAAAAGGTGAAATGGGAATGGAAAAAGGTTTGTGGATGGGTGGATGGAGTGCCGAATTTATTTGACAGCTGCCCCTGGTTCGTGTGGGTTCGATTTCGATGGTTATTAAAAACGCTGAAACCGAACAATGATCGATAAGCGATAAGATGATGACAAGCTATGGCCAAATTATGATTTTACTTATGAAAGCGAAAAGCGAAAAGCGAAACAGGCGGAAACTGGTTTTGTTTAGCTAGCGAGAGGATGAGAATGCTCTGAAATATGTTCTACAAAATTCCACGAGGGATTTCACTATGCCTTAGATTTATTTCATGCTCAAGCGAAAGTTTAATCTATGTAAGCAAACAGAATTCGCATCATAGCCAGGCCTGGGGGGCCTTTGCTGCTGTGACCCAAAATCGTATCATCAAACGGGGGAATATATAATAATAAAATCGTTTAAATGGGTCCCGTTCTTTTATGTGCCCCCCAATAAACTGCGTCATCAGGCACACGTCATAAAATATCGGACCACAACCAACACCAACACAGGGAGAGCACAGAGAAAGAACAGAGCTTTCAGTACTTTCTTATCAACGACAATAAGTTCACATCTACGATTGACACGCCCTCTTTTCTATTCTTCGCGAGCTCTGTAAACAAAAGCTATCTGGAAGTGAATCTAAGTTGGAATACCCCCCACTAGCAGAGCCAGTGCCAACTATTTTTGCAATGGCAAATCAAATAAATAAAAACTACGCATTTTCTACAATGACACTCGCCTCGATTCACGAGACTTTCCATTCGGAGCCGAATCTTTCCCTCCGTTTGCTGCGCTGATAAGCCGACTACAATAATTTCATTGCGGCATAAAAGAATCTTAATGGGAATAATTTTAATCGAAAATCCCGCAATGAAATGACATTGTTGAAATGCTTGCTGATAATTTTGAGTGTCGTATAAAAATATAAATAAATGTATAAGTGTTCCTTCCCCTTATCAATAGGCGAAAAGTACATTTTCTTGGCGCCAGCCGAAAGAGATCTAATGGAACGTTTTTACATATTTAGGATTCAAGTGATCGGAAATTGGCTAATAACTAAGGACAAGAGGGCCAGAAGTGGTCGAAATTTGTATGGCTTCAAAAGTATTCCGAAAATGTATTGGAATTGGAATTTCTCAGTATGTAGTAGTAATGGATAGATATGTAAGTACATATTTACATATGTACGTTTACCAAAACTCACCTCTTAAAACTGCAACTCCTTTTTCAAGTAATTTAAATAATTTGCAAAGAACTTTGAAGTTTCTTGAATTTTTGAAAGTTTTTTATGGTTGTTTCCCCACTTTTCACTGTAACTGTACTTTTTTACTGTAAATGTACTTTTTTACTAAACAAATGTAGTACTAATAATATTCTTGAAATGTCCACAAAGTATTCATATAATCATTCTTATTCAAAGTGTACTTTTGCTCCGCTTGGGGAATCTTGAGCGTTAGGTGTGACAATGCAGAATAAAGGCAAATCCGTTGAGAGCACTTGTTTATATAGGCGCTTGAAGAACGAGGGGCATAAAAAAGGGTAAAGCAACAGGTACAAATACTTGTAGACCTGGGGCCAACAACGCGGTAGCACGGCCCGACAACGACACCAAACAGACGACCGAAACCCGACGACCCTTCGGATGTGTAGTTGCGAGGAGGCGTAGGTGAGTTCCAATGTTCTTGTGGGCGTTTTTTTGTGTGGGGGTGGAAGGTGTCAGTGGGTGAATGGGAGCACTTGAAAAGTTTTTATAATTATGTACTTTGTCTTGCGAAAACTTGAGAGCAATCTCTCTTTGAGTGGTGCTCGCGACGTTCTTCTTTACGGTGCGTTTGAAAACTAAACACTTCGGATGGGGTCGGATCGAATCGGATCGATCTCGTAGTACTACTGTTCGTGCGATTCTCCCAACGGAAAGTGAATTAAGTCGGTTGTAGTCGCGGTACTCGGCAATCGGCACTCGGCACTCGGGCCTGCCTGCCTGTGCGTTTGTGTACCGTGCCACGCTTTTGACAAATCGTCCGATAAAGCCAAGATTTATGATCAAGTCATATAAATTGAAACAACCGAAAGTGTAGACTGCGCTACAGTATAAAGTGTGGGGCATGTTAGTGTGTACAGGCACTGTATATCAAGAGATTAAAACTCAATTGGCACACTGCATGATCACGCGTGGTCTTGGGGCTTGCGTTTACTCCCTCGCTTGGTTCATTGACTTGATTTCAGCGGCGAGTCGGCGCCAAGGATCTGGTGTCAAGGCTTTGCACACAATCTACAAAACTGTACGAGAGTAGGCGTATATTTGTGGTACCCCCAGGAGATCAATGCCCCCATCACTTTCAGTTATAGGTCATTAAACTCGCAATGATTTTGCCAGAACATTTCAAAAGTTAATTGGGTCAATGTCGGCTGGCAGTTTTTTCTTCAAGCTTAGAGCGGATGCTGAAATTTTAAGCGGATATTGCAAACTCATGAAGTTTCAGCATCAGAAGCATCAGAATCACATGATTATAGGTTGGGGTTCCATCATCAGGTAGGGCATCTCTGACATGTGTATTTTTAAATGATAAATTATGTCAACAAAGTGTGTTGACCCAAGATGAGCAAACTAAATTAGATTCGCAGTTACGAAAATTCATCTAAAAATAGCGTGGAAATTTACACTTGTCCATCGCAGAGATAACCAAGCTGATGTTATCTTTTATGTTATAAGTCAGACATCAGACCCCTCTGCTCTGTGAGACTTCTTGTTGGAATAATGTGATGCAATATCTTCGGAAGATTTAGTCACACAGAAACCGAATGTTCAAATAAATGGTGGGTGGCAGGAAAAAAGTGACCTTTGCAGGTACATTTTGAGTGTATGTTTGAGATGCCAAAACTATTACGTTTAATAAAAACAAATTTCCCCAAATCATTTCTTAATTTAAATATTCTAGTCTCTTATGCGTCTCATCTTTTACGAAATTCCAGCAGACAGTGATTAATTTTGTCTGGAAATGCTGCCAAAAAATGTTGATTATTCCAATTAAATCTAGTATATTGACACGCCTGACCTTTTGTCTCATCCGAAAATACGTATATTTGAATATTGGTAGGTAGAATGTGGGGAAAGATGGCTAATCTCTCGCCCACGCTTCATTTGTAGACAACGGGATTAAATTAATTTGTATGGTTACATCACCCGGATCGATGGATGGGGTGTCATAATCAGAATCGTCACTTGTCCGAGAGATAAACTCGTCCCATAGATAAGCGTTCGTCTTTTTTAGCAGCATGTGTATAGTATCGCTTGACTGAGTATCAAACGACAATCCTAATCGAATCAGTGCTAATTGACACTAATTAAAGCGGGACAGACGGAATTGACTTTCCATTCCGGAACCAAAGCAAGCTCGTGCTGGACAATTATCAGCAGTTGAGACATCACGTGAGGGTAAGACTTTAACCATGCCACCTTAGGGTGTATATAAATCCACATTAAAATGCATTTGAGTAATCATATTATAATTTGAGTTCTCGCACACGCTGCCGAAAATACCACAAAACATTTATTATATTTAATTTGTAAAGATATATTAAAGAGCAGGGTGAAGAAACATCCATCCACCGGCTAATGTCATTTTTGGTATTCCAAATTGCGCTTCACACGAAAACTTTCTCATGTAAATGTTTTCGGCTTAATTGCATTCAAAGCCTTGTGAATCCTTTCAAATAGTTCGACGTTGGCGTGGAGCTCTACCGATTGAAAATGAATTATTATGATTACCAGCAGCTCTGTGCTGTTATACGTCTCTTACAGCTCTTCCATAAGCAGGAGACCGATGCGGCCCGGTTCTGGAATCGGTATCTTAGCGTGAACGCCTCGCCACTGCAACCTTCTTGGAGAGAATATCGAGGAAGGCCGGATCGTCCTTATTCCTGTACTGTTCCTGACTATACCTTGTACTACTCCGACGACTCCTACTTTGGCTGCGACCAGCATACAATATCAATTCAATTGTAAAACTATGTAATACAGACGTACTTTGTAAATTAATAAAAATAAATTCATGCAAATTGTATTGAACCTTGAAGTATGCAACAGATATTCTGATTTTTCCTTAATTTGCATAGTAGTCAGCTGTATAAAAAAAATGAATACTGACAAAACCTGCCTGCTATGAAACTTAAGACAAACAAATTGAACCTTGAAATAGGCTTCACTTTTTTTGAAATTTCAAACAAATTATGTTGCATACTTCGAGGGTCACTTTTTGTCTTAAGGTTCATAGCAGTCAGCTTTTGCCAGCCTGCAAGTTTTTGTTGTACAACAACAACGTTTCATGCTGACAAAAGCTGGCTGCTATAAAACGGAATTTACCTGAAAGTATTCCCTGCTTTTTGTAACAAAAGCAACCCCCAAAAGATATCACCCAGGGCACGCCAAAAGTATGGTATTTTTTTTATTGGGATGCAAAGTCCGTTGGACTTTACATATTTTTACAAGGTTATTTACATTTTGTATGTATACATGTGTGTGTTATCGGCCATCTGAGTATTTGAGAGCTGCAAGAGACTGTGCGATCCGCATCTTCTATCGATTTTCTGAAAAACACAAGAGGAAAATATATATAGAATGGCGGCTAAGTGGGTTGCGTTTGATCACTTATCGTATATCAATATACATATAACTTGTTCATTGTATATTTACGGTTTATCGGTACATAATGGTATATATATTCCATTTTTAAGCTATGTATATTCAATAATATAGGGTATCCCAACTCCCATACGCATGTCTTTCACATGTCACTCGAGGAGTTTCTCTCTGTTCCGTAGGGAATTTTCTCTTACGTTTTAAGGCATATTCTCTCTCGCAACATGAGTCTTTATTCCATCCCTACTTACGTTGAATTCCATTCCCCACTTACGTATTTTACCTTTGGCAACATAATTTGTATGGACCAGAAAGATCCCAGCATTGTTCCTCAACATTTGGCACAGACAAAGCAACATTTAGTACCCTTGGAGGGGTGAATATCCTCGAATTTAAGAAATGTTGGATATCTCTGGCTCCATCTGAACAGAATTATGCACACACCGAGAATATATCTAGATCGATATTCAAATGTAGAACATAGAACATAGAAACATAGAAGGCATATGAAAAGTTTAAAATATGACGGTCTAACATAAATGAGAGCAGCTTTGAATATGATATAATAGAAATAGGGTATACAAATGCCCATGCCATACCTACCTGTTGACAAGCAACAAATTGTCAAATGACGTTGCATTCCGTTCCCACTCACGTAACGTTTTATGCTTTTTTTGATCGATGACCTTTTTAGTTTTAAACTTAATTTGGAAAGATTAAAAAAAAAAGATTTCGTGAAAACTATCTACTCTTGCGGAGAATCGATTGATAAATTGGATAAAATTATATTTTTAGCGCTGAGACTCCTAACTAGCTAGTAATATCAAATAGAACATAAAAGTCGAGGAAAATAATTTAAGATTCACGGTATATTTACAGTATATTTTGAAAATGCAAGGGTATATTTCCGATGGTCTGTCGGTATATTTGATCGATAACTCCGCGGTCACACTGCGCTGCAGAGATTAAATACAAAAAAAAACAAAAAAATGTCTACGCTCCAACTGGAATTTTCGCAGGCCATGGCCGATTTCAAGAAGATGTTCCCCGACATCGATCGCGAGGTGATTGAGGCCATACTGCGGGCGAATCTGGGCGCCGTGGATCAGACAATAGATGCCCTATTGGCCATGTCGATAGATAATCAGGTAGGGGTCCGTGTGTGCGTTTGCTTGTGTATACTAACAGCAGCTACTATACTATACTAACCTAACCGCATGTGACAGAACGAAAAACTGCGCAATGAACTGGATGCTAATGTCTCCCCACAACAGAGTCTCATCAATCTCAACGATTCGGACAAAGACCTGCGGCGCAATGTCCAGCTCGTTGACACCACGGATGGCATTGGGGACAGCGGTGCAGCCACCGCAGCAGCCAGTGCTGGCGCATTGCTTACCGCCACCGCCAGCGCATCGCCGAATCATCACAACACTGGTGCCTCGCCCAAGATGCGGCCACTGGCCACCTCCAACAGGATCAATAGCCAGAACAACACGCCCACAAAGAGGAGTCTGAGCAGCAGCAGCAGCACAGCCCGTCGCTGGAACCCACCCATTCTGGGTGTGCTTCCGCCAGGCTTTCTACGCATTGCACCTGCTGCTGGACAGCAGGACTTCGAGCTGCCCGACGAGCAGTTTGCATTGATGCTGCAGAACGAGGAGTTCATGAATCAATTGCGCTGGAATCAAGACTTCATGAACGCCCTCGAGAAGGAGCAGACGGGCAAGACCAAGGGCGAGGACGATGCCCCGTTTCAGGAGCGTCTCAAGAACATGGGCAAGATGTCGCGCAAGAAATTCCTACAAATGGCACGCGTATTTACCTGGCAGCGCAATAAAAAGGTGACCACCGCCAAGCAGATCGACTCGCTACCGTTGCGCGAGGAGCCCAGCGACGATGAGGATCATCACCATCATCATCAGCAGCAGCAACAACAACAACAACAACAGCAGCAGTCGAGCCAATCGCAATCTCAGCAACAACAGCAGCAGCAGCAGGGCCAGTTGCAGCTGCGAAAGTGAGGCACGTACGGGGCATCCAGCATTTTGTTATCTTATCTCAATGGCCATACCGTGATGATCACGAGCGCTAGTAATCTCCTTTAAAGTAATCTCTAAGCAAGAACGAAATCTCCTCCCAATCTCTAAAAAAAAGATGCGAAATAATTGTATTATTCTAGTTTTTAAACACCGCCCCAACCCCCTTACACATCATAACCAAAAGTGCAATTTTTACCCCTCGTAAACATACCAGTGCAATATCTCTCACCTTTTTTACAATATGATTTGTGTACCTACATTTTATTTGTTGCCAAATTAGCTAAATTAAGTTTTATTATTAATTTGTAAAGAAGATACGAAACGGGGCGTTCTCTTTAGAGCCCCCACCTAGAGTTTGCAGCACACACAAAGTTGGACTGACTATTTGAATGCGTTAATTAATTGAGCATCACACCCACGAATAGAAATCTCTGTAGAGCACTTTGCTTAGCCACAAAAACCTAGTCATTATGAAAAGAAAACCTAAAAAAATCCAACTTATTGTACAGTAAGCGAAGCTAAAAAATATTCATGTAAAACTAAAACTATTTCTGCCGTTTTAAAATCAATGTGGTTCCCGGCGCTTAACTGGCTTCCACTCTGTGCATGGCTATTATACTATACGTACGTACGTGTCTCGTCCCAACAAAACTATGCATCCATATCAAATGCAGTTTTAGCAGCGAACCCCTGCGGTTCGCCTTTCGATGAGTATGCGTGCTATAAAAGTAGCAAAATATTATGATAATTATAAAACTCAGCCGGCTATTTGATTGTAATTTGTATGTATAAACATTTGAATAACAACTACCTTGTATTACTTATTCCAAGTATCAAATACAGATATTTAAAAAATGTAATTAAAATTGTTTTTCCTGCCCAAAATTACTTTGCCCATTACTTGAATTTATTTAATTTTTATTTTGTTTTTTTGCATTGGCTTTTTAATTTTTTATAAACATAATACATTTATTAATAATTAAAAGATGCTCGAACCTGTTGAGTTACTCCACCCTCGGACTTCAGGACTGACAGACACTTCTGTTCCGAAGTGCCGAAGTAAGGGAACAAGTTCGAAAAAGTGGTTTTTCAATTACATTCATTTTCACACGCTCATTATTACATTAATGTTATTGTAACGGTTGGGTTTTTCTTTTCTTTTCTTTATTATACTCAAAAATGATTTGTATCTTTTATCATATATGTATATAATATATACGCTTGGGCTTAGGTTTTTAATTAGTTTCAATGTTGGTTGTTGGCTGTGTTTAGACTTTGATTTAAGGGCATATTGGTTACTACGCGAAGTTTATGTTTATGTTTATGTTTACTTTTACTTGTATGCAATGTTTTGTTATGTTATGAAATATTTATAGATTTACTTCGTTTTTAGGTTTCTTTTCATTTTGGGATTGTAACGACCATTTCTTATGCATAAAATATACTAGTATTTGTGGCTTTATACCTTTTTTTTGTTTCCAGCTTCCTGCCGGATGATCTTTTCTGATCCGGCAAAAAGTATGCGGAAGGAGTTAAATCTCGGACACTTGCAACACTGCGCCATTTCCGGCTCAATGTCTGTGCGTCCCACTTCCGTTTCCATGCCTTGGTATTGGCTCTCTGAGAGCGTGCCGGAGTGTATGTGTGTGTGTGTGTATGTTGGGATGTAGCATGCATGTGTGTGGTTGTGTTTTCGTGTGTATGGAGGTGTATTTTCAATTTTGGATTGATCGATCGTATTAAACAATTACTTGTAAATTTGTTTTAAACTAGTCACTAAATGGATCATCTCATTTACTCTTCTCTTCTGGTTTGTTTGCAACATTTTGACATCATTTGCAGACAATATTTTTATAAAATATGTTCTTATACATGTTTTACTTGTTGTTACTCAATTTTATTTGCTTTTATATGGATTCAATTCATCATATTATCATCATCATCAAACATCAATCATCATCATCTATCAGGCTAGTACAAGTTAATTTTTAGCTTAATTTGATTTTGAGTTGAATTGGTTTTGTTTTCTTTTTGCAAATTGGTAGAAGAGCAACGACATGACATTAGGTATACGGCTCTATTTATAGATATTACTTGTTGTTTCTTTGTTTTGTTTTTGTATTTTGTATTGTATATAAGACGTATTGTGTATATAGAGTATAATCGAAAAGAATCAATAAATACGAATGTTTTAGTTTACGAATGTTTCATTTGTTGCATAATTTAAAAAACGGCTCAAAAACGAACGACAAATATGTATAATATATATATATAAGTGTGTGTGTGGGTGTATGTGTGTTTGTGTGTATAAGTATATTAAATAATTCCCCATATTGATTAATGGTTAATCAGCGACAAAATAGTACAATCATAATAGTAGTAAATAGTAATAATTACAAAAAACTTTAAACAGTTATAAAACATTTGTCGGCATATGTACGTTTGTTTTGCTTTTGCTTTTGCTTTTGCTCTTGTATAATATAGTAGATTGGTTATTTCAATTACTGTTTTGTTTGTTTGACAATCTTTAATATTGTATTTGTTTGTATTGTTGTATAACTGCATATTGCATTCGGATCGAAAACGAAACAATAACGGAAAAAATTTAAAATGTTTTTGTTAATTTTACTCTTATACTTGTTCTCCTGCCCTACTCCTCTTCTCTTCCCTTCGCTCTACAACACTCTCTTTTGTTTTATTTCTCTTACTCTTTTTGTTTTGTTTTGTTTTTTTGTTTGGAAGTCTTATAGCAGAACACATAGGGACTTTTTCGGTTTCTTTTGTTTCTTTTCGGGTGACTTCTTATTGATCTGCCTAACCAAATCGTAGAAAATATCATTCACATTCACTTTGGCTTTGGCTGAGGTCTCCATGAAGGCGCAATTGAACTGGTTGGCCAGGCTCTTGCCCAGCTCCTTGCCGACGACTCGCTCCTCCTCGAGATCGCACTTGTTGCCCACCAGCACCATGGGCACATCGTCCGTATCCTTTACCCTTAGTATCTGCTCGCGCAGGTCCTGCAGATCATTGAACGTCGACTGCGCCGTTATCGAATACACCAGCACGAATCCCTGTCCGTTCTTCATATACAGATCCCGCATGGCCGTGAACTGCTCCGTGCCGGCCGTGTCGAGAATCTCCAACATGCACTGCTGTCCGTCCACCTCCACCTGCTTGCGGTAGCTGTCCTCAATGGTGGGGTCATACTTCTCCACAAAAATGCACTGCACAAACTGCACTGTGAGGGCGGACTTGCCCACGCCGCCGCTACCCAGAACCACAATTTTGTATTCACGCATTTCTCACTGTTGCTGTTGCTGTAGCTGTAGTTTGTGTAAGACCCAAAAAGCAGGTAGGCGGCAGCTAATGCTCGAGTTCAGGTGGGTTTCCAGTTACAAATTCCTCTTGGAGTTATTGAAGTTGCAAAATGTTTAATTTTAAAACGCGGGGCGGTTCTCTCTCTCTCACTCCTCTCTTACTCACTTCTCACTCTCTCTCGTTCTCGGTCTTGGTCTTGGTCTCTCTGTCTCTCTCACAAAAAAATCACTAGTTTAGGCGTTGTTCGGCGATTGCTTTTCGGTTGCAGTTTTGTGGTTGTTCTTGTAGAACGTTTTTTTGTTTGTTTTTTGAACGTTATATATATATATATGTGTATATTTAAAGTAATTTTGTTGTTGGTTCTGTTATTGATGATAACCTTTGTGCCGTGTACGAGTGTGTGTCTGTGTGTAGAGTGTGGAGAGAGTACGCGTGTTGGTGTTGATGTGTGTGTGTGTGAGTGTTTGTGCCTCTCCCTCGCTCTTTCCGCTCAGGTTCTTGTAGAGGTGCGTGCGTTCCGTCAATTGTTGCTTTCAGCGATAAAAAGAAATTTCCGCTGGCGCTTCTGCTTTTCCGCTGCTGCCACTGCCACCGCCTGCCGTTGTCACTGTTGTTGCTGTTACCGAGAGCGCACTGTGGGGAGTAAAGAAAGCAATTTGTTGTATGTATTTTAAATATAGCTCGATTGCACTGTAAATTCGTTTGTTGCGTTTCGTTTTTGGTTTGGTTTTGGGTTGGTTTTTGGTTTGTATGCTGGTGCTGGCTGCACTCTCTTTTTTTTTGTTGGTCGTTGGTCGTGTTCTCGCTCTATCTTGGTCTTTTATGATTCATTTTTAGAGTTGTCAAGCGGCGCACTGCCTTCGCCAGAACTTGTGGCTGGAATTGTTTCGGAATTTGCGCACTTTTTAAATGAAAACCACGCCGACTGCATCTATTCGGGGCACCAATGTTTATCCAAAGTGTGTATAACACCTAGTGCGGATATAAATCTTCACAATGCACCCGCATGCTAGCAGGCAACTCTATTCGGAGTTTTACCTTTTTTGTTGTGTTAGCTGCGACTTGGGGCAGATATGGTCGCTGGTTTCTTGATAAAGGCCACGAAAACGTCAATGGCCGCGAATTTTTGTGCTCTGTTGAATTGATAACGTTTTAATTCTCGGCAAAATACAATTTTCTCGCCCGTAACCCGCACCGAAAATAGTATTGTTGGTGGGTCTTGTTAGTGTTGTGAAATTGCTTACACTGTGCAGTGTGACCGCGCATTTATCACATAAATATACCGAAGTTGGGTCCAGCACTCTGTACCACTTCCACTGTTCCAGCGTCTTTTCAAACTATATTTAGCAAAACAACATAAATAAATGTGTAACTAAAATTTATAAAATTCCACAGTCTAGCCAGTTCAGCGTATCTTTGTGACCATTCCAGCGGCAATCGTGACTCCAGCCACCCGCAGCATGACACGGCCGAGTTCCTTGAAGTCCGCGTATCGCTCTATGCAAATGGGGCGACTCGTCTCCAGCTCGACGAGGGCGCAGGAGTTGCTGCCCAGGCAGCGGGGCTTCTTCTTGACCACCTCGCCGGTGCTCTTGTGTATGGACGCAGTCAGCTTGCACACCACAGCTGGCTCGATGAGCGACTGGTGGTGCAGCAGCACTGGAAATCCCATGGTGATGGGCACCTTGACGCTGAAGACGATGATGCGGGCCTGGAAGCGTGTCGTGACGGGTATGGGCGTCTGCGGGTCGCTGATGATGCAGCCGACGGTTATGTTGTTGATGTCCACGCCGGCCAGCGTCACCGATATCTGATCGCCCGCAAAGACGCTCGTCTGTGGGAACTCATCCATGGTAAGAGACTTGACCTGTGCCTGCTCCCGGCTGGCGCCGACCAGCACCTTGTCGTTCACACACATCACGCCAGTCTCCACTCTGCCAGAAATGCAGAAACCCGATCCAGTGCCCTTGTAGATGTCCGAGACGGACATCCGCAGCGGCCTGTCCAGCGCTCGCTCTGGGATCTTGAAGTTCTCGATGACGTCCAGCAGGGGGCGACCACTGTACCAGCTGGTGAGTGCCGCCTCCTGTGCTTTCTTGGTGAGATTCTCGCCGGTGAGGCCAGAGCAGGGTGTGAAGCTGACGTCCGACTCCTTGAAGCCCGCCTGCTTGAGGAAGGATTTCAGTTTGGTGACAATCTCCGTGAATCGCTCCTGCGACCAGCCGACTGTGTCCAGCTTATTGATGACCACGCCCAGTTGGTTGACGCCCAGCGAACGCACGAGGATGGCATGCTCGCGCGTCTGTCCGCCCAGCTCGAAGCCAGACTCGAATTCTCCCCGCGTGGAATCCACCACGAGGAGTGCCACATCCGCTTGGGTGGCGCCGGAGATCATGTTGGGTATGAAATCCTTGTGCCCGGGCGCATCCAGCAGCGTCACAATCTTTGTCTTTGTCTCGATGCGCGACTGGCCCACGTCCATAGTGATGCCTCGGGCCCGCTCCTCGCCAGTCTCGTCCAGCACCCAGGCGTACATGAAACTCTGCTTGCCCAGCTTCTTGGACTCCTGCTCGTGCTTGTGCATCACGCGCTGGGACACGTTGCCCGTGTCGTACAGCAGGTGCCCCATCAGCGTGCTCTTCCCTGCGTCCACATGGCCGATGACGATCATGTGGATGTGGCTCTTCTGGTCGGAGCGCTCCTTCTCGTACAGCTGCTGTGCGTTGCGCTGAGCCTGGTCCTTGGACACTTTGAAGACGCTCGCGGCAGTGCGTGACAGATCGTTGTCTCCGCCCACATCCACGGGCGTGTTTCTGCCCGAAACTACGGGGGAGGACGGCAGCTTGGGGGAGGCTATTTCAAAGCCACGCCGTGGCTCCTTCAGGCTGATCTTGGCCGGTGGCGTGGGCTTGCTGGCAGACTTTACGATCGTCGCTGCAATGGGCACGGGCACCTTCGGTCGGAGCGCAGGCTTGTCCGATTTCTTGGTCTCCTCGTTGAGGATCTCATCCAAAATCTTCTGTATGTCGTAGTCAAACTTCATGGAGGTCTCCACGATGCGACGCTCGGACACGGCGTCGCCCACCACACTCCGCACCTCATCCACGCAAGAGCTCAGCTTGGCCTGCTCCATTTCGTCCAGTTCGGGCATCTGGAAGCTCTCCGAGTCGCGTCTGGCCTTCTCGTAGGCCTCGTCCTCATCATCCTCGTCGTGCTCGCCCTCCTCCTTAATGTCCTTGTTCTTGCTGATGAACGCGGAGATGCTCTGTCTGCCCCGCTCCCGGTCGTAGAGCCACTGTTGGGCATCTGTGGGCGAAATGCAGTGATCATCATCGACGGAGTGCCCGTAGACGTCATCGTAACCATCGTATTCGTCGTTGTAATCCATTGTCCGTACAATCCTGTGGCGCGACATCTTGACGGGCCTTCTGTTTAACAGTTCCTGCCCACTATTTCACAATATTTTTAAAACAAATTAATTTCATTCGAGAAAATGAAAATAAATTGGAAGCCAGTGTGACCGCGTCTCCCCAGGGTGACGGTATATTTCGACGTCGAAATTGAGTTTTACGTATATATACGGAATTTCGGTATATAACACAGTAAGTACACTTCACACTTCTTTTGGCATTTTATGGTGACTTTCTGACTGTCACTCTGGTGTAAAATTTTTTAGACATCATGTCTCCCGTCGTCAATTTAATTTAATTCGTGAAACAAACATCAGAATTTAGCGACGATTACGAACAACTAGGCAGGGAGGTTCCACACGAATGCTCGGACCCGATGAGCGGCGCAAGAACCTACAGTAAGAGGGATCCCGGCGGCGACGAGGACGGTGGCAAGGAGGCGTCTGCCGAGTCGGCTGAATCGCTAGAACATCTCACGATACCAGAGCTCCTAGACGGTTGGGCCATAAAGAAGTCTGAAAAGCAGGGAGCACATATATTGCGGCTACTCGAACTACGCACCAAGGAAGAGGAGCAGAAGGACGCACAGCGAGCCCTACAGCAGCAGAAGAACTTGCAGCAGCTAGCGAACTGCCGCCAGAAGGCGCGTGCCCAAGAGCAGGCGCGTCTGCGTGACGAGAAACTCCACTGGAGTACCCAAGAGGCGGAGTCCAAGGAAGCGAAGCGATCGGCGGCACTGCGTAAGGACATTGAGCATCAAATCTTGGTGCAACAGGAATCAGAGGCGAAGCGTATCCGCGAAGAGGCGGTCTGGGGTAGAACATACGAGCAGCAGAAGAAGAATAGGAAAAGCAACAATAAATCAGAACAGGAGCTAGTTCAACAGAGGGAGAGATTCAGTCTTCACGAGACGCTGCACACAGAAGCCCAGCAGCAAGACAAAATGGTCAACATACCGATGGCAAATCTGAAGCCCATCCTTAAGCAGGCACCTGGATCGGCCACTGGCGGTGGCGTGCGTTACTTTTCACAGTTTAGCAAAGGCGGCGGTTCCACTGCCACCACAAGCACTAACACCAGCAGCACCACACTCGTGCACCAGCAGCTGCAGCGTAAGCCAACGGCCAATGGGGATCTCCATGGCACGAATGGCAGAGTTGCTGTCGTTGCCAATGGCATGCGCACCAAAGCAGAGCAGCAGGACATGCAGCAGGAGGTCAAACAGGAAGCTATAACCAAAACAGAGGCAGACAACCAGCCAGCAGAGGATGCTTCCGTCGCAGATGGTCCACTGGCGTTGCTCAGCAACCAGCAGCCAACAGAGTCGGACGACCCCGAGCTGGACATTGTAATCAACAATGTGGTGTGCACGTTCAGTGTGCGTTGCCACCTCAAGCTAAGGGACATTGCGCTGCGCGGCTCCAATGTGGAGTATCGCAGGGAGAACGGCATGGTGACCATGAAGCTGCGACGACCCTATACGACAGCCTCCATTTGGTCATCCGGCAGGATCACCTGCACAGGCGCCACCTCTGAGGAAATGGTAGGTGCAACCAGCAATCCATCTAAAACCAAATCCAATATCGTTCTCTCATTTTGTAGGCCAAAGTGGCGGCCAGACGGTATGCCCGCTACTTGGGGAAACTCGATTTTCCCACACGCTTTCAGAATTTTCGCGTTGTGAATGTGTTGGGTACCTGCAGCATGCCCTGGGCCATCAAGATTGTTAACTTCTCGACCAAGTATCCGAAGAATGCCAGCTACGAGCCGGAGTTGCATCCAGGTGTCACGTACAAGATGCACATGCCCAAGGCCACGCTGAAGATCTTCTCCACGGGAAGCATAACAGTGACAGGTGAGGGTCTCCATCCCCAAGTCTCTCTCCTGATTCATCTTTATCCGACTTATAGCTGCCAGCGTGAACGATGTGGAGGCCGCCATACAGCAGATATATCCATTGGTCCATGAGTTCCGCAAGCAGCGTTCGCCCGAGGAGCTGCAGCATTTGAGGGCCAAACAGAACAAAAATGCCGGCATCACTGGCAACACCAGCAACACCATCACTGACGCCAACGAGGCCCTGGCACTGGAAGAGCAAATCCTGACAATTCCCAGCAGTGCGGCTGGGGATCTGGTGAATGCAGCGGTGTGCAATGTGCAGCGTCTGAAGCAGATCGAATCGTTTCGCCAGATGTCCAGTGAGACTGAGGAGGAGCGCCGCCACATACCCTTCCCGCGTGACAAGACCGAGGAAGTGCTCTTCACCCACTCGTCAGCCAGTGGGTCTTCGACGGATAATATCTGCGCCAATGCCCGACGACGGGCCACCGAATGCTGGGCGACCAAGAACAAACGCACGCGCTACAATGATCCCAGTGGCGGCACAATAGTGGCTGCTGGTAAGACTAATACTACGACGATGAGTGCCAGGACCACCGCCTCCTCGTCCAATCCCGCCATCGCCAACCAATCAACCAGCACCAGCACATCCGCCACCACCATTACCGGGCCTATTCTGCCGCTCTCCTCGCTTACGCCCATTGGCAGCATCAGTGGCGGTGTGAACGGCAGACCATTTAGCCTGGTGGCCGCACGCACTATCCCTGCCACGGGAACCATCATCAACCTCAAGCAAAGCTGCATTAAGCCATTGAATCGCGATGCTCTGGCTGCATTCACCGCTGCCTCCAGTGGTAGCATCGCTACCGCCGTCAATTCCACTGCCACAGCCAAGGCTGTACCAGGTCCATCTGCACTCAAGCGGCAATCCCGTGGAGGAGGACACAATTAAGCTGCATCCTGTGTGGAGGAATTCATTTCATGCAGCAATCAGCAACGAATGGCGCATATAATACATACAGTACACGTACACGTACACGTACACGTAGACTAGCTTGAGCTGCATGCATCGATACACCTATAGATATTTTGATATATCATAATATTAGCATCACTAGTTTGTCTTTTGTCGTATTACAAATATAAAATCAATAAAAACGTACTCCCATGGGCTGCATTCACATCCGCGTCTCTTCTTTTAAACAATTATATTTTGGCGCGCGAATATCTAGTCGATAGTATCGGTGACGACTGCACGCTTTGAATCGGTTCTTGGCTCACCTCGCTCTGAATCAGTAGACCCTAATTTATAAACAAATTAATCAAAAGGGGCCCTTAAAATTAACCAGCTTTGTACAGAATTTATTAATCTTTCGTTTAAAATTCTATATTTAGTGCTGCGAGTCCCAGCTATTAGATAATATCAAATAGAAGATCATAGTCGAGGAATAGTGCTTGTATATGTCAGTGTGCACGTATATTTTTTTTTATATATTTCTGTGGGATTTCCATTCTCAATTTGAGCCGCAAAACTGAAGAGATAATTAAGAGAGTATCTTGGAATGTTGTCACTTGTATTTACCTGTTGTCGACACCTTAGTTTTTGGTACAAATTTCGCACCATAAAATCTCCCATGGTTTGTTAAGGGATTGAAAGCTCCGAGCGTATTATAGTATTTACATATGTTCCCGTTCCTTTTCTAAAAAACAATAGAATTTCCTTTCTCTATAATTGAGCGCGCTATTTAAAAAAATGTATATATGTGTCTCTACATGTTACATAAACTTACATACTGAACACAAAGAAAAATTCAAATTACAAATTAGTAAAATATTAGGTCATAAGGAATACAATCCAACGAAAAGGAGTATTTATAATAAGCTAAATTGATTCTTCAAACGGATTAGGTTATTGTTTAAGTGGTGAAAGTCTGTGTAAGCTAGTAATATCAAATAGAACATCAAAATCGATGAATCTAGTTTAAGACTACGGTATGCTTACGGTATATTTTGAAGATGCAATGGTATATTTAAGTATATTTACGAGGCCCGAAGGTATTTTGTATCGATAATTTCGCGGTCACACTGGTCGTATTAAAAATAAAAATATAAAGAATATAAAATATAAAGAAAAACTACTTTCGGCGCGGTTACGGGCTACAGAAAAAGCGTCGAACAGAGCCCGAATACGGTGTGCGGAAAAATGAATAGAAAGTAGCATTAAAAGTGCCGCTTTTCACCACCCGAACGCCACAGTGCTCCATCGTTGGCACATACAACGTATATCGTTAATAATACACAACAAAAGCAGCAGCAGCAGGCAGGCAGGCAGGGCAGCCGTGTAAAAATATGTACAATAACGGGTCAACACGGGGCTTCTCCATACACGACGCATTCGAGGAGGAAACAGACGAGGCGATACGCGTCTATGGCTCCACAGTGATATCCACACCCATGCGGAGCGGAAAACAAGGTCGCTCCACTGAGGATGTATCCATACGCATACAGGATCCAAAGTGAGTGGGGCACGCTATGTGATTTGATGCCAAAAACGGGTCTGGTCTGGTCTGGTCTCGTTCGCATGGTCTCATTCTGATGTGTGATCTGATCTCTGTGTGGCTGTGTTGTCTGCATGCGTGGGCTGTTTATTGGCACCATTTTGGAGCGAAGTTCGTTCTCTTTGTGAATCACAAAAGACAAGTCAGGCCTGTCCAGCTGTTGGCACTGTCAGTTGCACCCTACACTCTAGGCACTCTTCTGCCTTCTTCAAGTGGCACTTCCTCATTCCCGCCGGAAGCACCTAAACACTTGAATAATTTACCTAAACTTTGATGCCGCAGGCGCGTGCGTGCTTCTTGCCTTCCTTACATTCATTTCTTTTGCTCTCCCATTACCAATGCATGGCGTGTCGCAACAGCAACACCAGAAACAACAACAACAACAACATTCTTCATATGTAATTATTGAGATTATAAATGCAGACGTCCAGCCTAATTTGGCATTCAATTGTAAAGAAAACAAAAGCAAAAAGCATTGCGCATACATTTCGTCATAAAGGTTTCTCATTTCTTGAAGAGATTGAAGCGCTGCCACGCGAGTTGGTAACGTAGAGGGAGGGGGAGTGGGCTGGCCTTCGCCTGCGGTCAGCTGGAACCAGTTAACAGCTCAACAGCTAGGCCAGGCCATGCCAGCCTCGTCTGCACTTGTCGGGCTTCGCTGCCAATATAATCGAGTATTATATGCAATAATTGATTGCGTCTTGCTTTTGGCGGCAGTCCAAACCCGCGATAACCCCTCGAATTCGATTGATAAGCGCATTTTTTGAGTCACTTTAAATTATTTGTTTGATTGTAATGTTATTGCTCTCTCCATTCTGCATCCTCCATTTGCAGGGGCTATAATAAATATGCCGAAGACACAACCTCCAGGGACAGCGACTCGCTCATTCAGGAGTATGGAAATCTGCCCACGGAGGAGACCAACACATATTGCTGGCGGCATCCGAAGGTGCGCGAGAATTGGCGCACAGTGCTGGCCGCCTTCACGCTGCTGGTTGTGGGCACAGGTCTCTTTGTGATGGGCACCTTTGCCATTGCCGATCCGCAGAACACATCGCAGGGTGTTGTGTTCTTTGTCGCTGGACTCATTTGCTTTATACCAGGAGCCTATCATGTCGTCTACATTTGGCTGGCAGCCAAAGGCTATCGAGGGTTCGACTTCTATCACCTGCCACTGTTCACATAGGCAAAGCAGGAGCAGCTGCGGCAGAGTGCATTGGTTGATCCAACAGAAAAGAGAGATAAGCAGTGGGAGTGGGGAGTTGGGAGTGGGAAATCCCTGTCTATAAATATTTATCTATAAATTTGTTTATATTTCCTGTAAGCGACTCTTTATGTTCTATGTCCGTTAATAACTCTCCCCCAACTCGATATCGTTTTGTGTAACGTACATTTTTTGTGTTAACCGGCAAAAATTAAGTTTAGACAAAGCAAAGGAGAAACCCCTCAGAACCCGAATCGAAATTTAGCAATATATTTATATAGATAATATATATATATATATATATTTTACAAGAAATTATACTCAGTAAAATGTTTTTGTATGCTCCCAACCCGAATCCAATCCCAGAAGAAGAAAGTGCAAAAACAATTCATACGTATGTACCCTCGAAAATTGATTTAAGCAAAAAAGAGAAGAGATAAAAAGTAGTAGACACAAGAGAAAGACTGTGTATATGATGCTAACAAGTTGAGGAATCGCTAGAGTTATAACATATATATATATACACATACTTATACGTATATAAATTGTAATGTAATTTATTGAAATTAATTCGCACCAAAAAAAAGAAGGCTAACGATCGCGAGCAATGTTTTACGACTTTCCAACAAGAGAAAACAAATGAAACTCAAACCCACGAATCTATGTACTATACGATTAGTGAGCGTCTGTCCAGGGATGCGCCTTAAAAGAACTAGAACTAGACTTTAGTCAACGTCGAATTACGTTTATGATTTAGCGGACTGTAAGGCGGGAGAACTCTTAAGCAAAATCCCCATGATACAATGATAAATAATACCTAGCTACTACTTGTGTTCTAGTGATGTAAGTCGACCGATGCCCATGCCCCGATATATTGCAATATGTTCTACAGTGTGATGACGCGACTCTACTACGCCTTTAGTCCCCCCCCCCCCCCCTGAATTCTTAAATACCCTTACCCGTCCTCTAATGAAATTACATCTCACTCCCTCACTCAGTCATTAACATTTCTCGAAGCTCGAACTGACACTGAATCACCTCCTCACATACTTTATACACCTTTACACTTACACCTCTCATCCGTTTAGTTCTTAATGTTGTATAATTTCTTTTTTAAGAAATGATAAAAATGGTTGTATTACTACGAAAAAAAAAACACACGACAAAAATAAGAATAAATTAAATGAAAAAACACACATAAATACGATTTATGGCCCTAAAACTAATCTAATTCAATACAGGACGACGACTACTTTATCTTTTCCAAAATGTACCCAACATTTTAATTATATAATGTTTGTGTTTTAGTTTTGTATTTCTATGTATCTGTGTAGTTTTTTGTGACTTTTGTATGTATACTTTCCTATTTAATGTTGGTTTTTATGCAAATTAAAAATTATTATTTTTGAAACACCTGATTTTGACTTCCTTTATGTATCATTTATCTTTGGCTGGGTTCAAGTATTCAATTAAATTCTTTTGTTTATGTTTTGGCGCTATCAAAATTATGACAATGGTACGAAATATTTTATCAACTTTTTATGGTTTTTTTTTTTGTTCGACGTGATTTATCTTTTTTTGCAGTTTCTTTTCTTTTATTTTATGCCATGTCTTCGGGAAATTGATTTCTTTAAATGGCCAAAAGTAAAGCTAGATAACAATTATCTTTAATTTGCGGCATTCCCATTGAAATCCATCATTAACCACAAGACTACAGCGCGTTTCACAGGTGTAAGATGAAGATTTGGAAATCACAAACTCCACTTAATATATTGGGAGTAGCATCACTTATCCGATTTCCTTTTCGCATTATTCCACAACTGAACAAGATCGAACTATAATTTAAGATTAAACTCCAATCTGTTGTAACACACACTTTTGAAACGCACTGTGGACACGCTCCAGCTCCCATGCCCAACTCCAAAGCCCCCACACTCGACGAGGGTACTCCCTAGGTTAATGGATAAATATTTCAGTTGCCTTTGGCCGCCAATGGCGATGCAGGCGATAGACGAAACGACATGAAACGATACGAAATGATATTATTATATGTATGAAACAATCAAATTGGCAATGGCTTTTGGAATGGAATATGTAATATGTAATGTACTTTTGCTCAATACGAAGTCAACGATGGCTCTAAATAGGTTTAATTATATTGGTGTTGTGCCCCGCGAATCGATTATTTTTCTAGCTTCGAACTTATTTGAATTGAATTTGAATATTGTACGTATAATTGTTGCCTCAACCCGAACCGAACCAGTTGATGATTAAGCTTTAAATGTGCTGCTTAGGAATGTAAGTGTGAGTGGCAAATGAAATGGAATAAAGTGCATGGAAATAAAAGCCAAGCCAAAGCCATGGCAGTGTTTCTTGTTTCTCGTTTCTGTT